AGTTGATGCTGACAAGAAAAAGCTAAGCATATATGTGAAAAAATAAAGGAATGGAGGATGCTTTCTAGACACATATATAGTAGCATCGAAGAAGAAGAAGGAGAGCCAAAGATAGTGCTCTTCTTTCTTTTTTCTTTGATATTTTCTAACTTCCCTTTCTCCCCAATTTTCCCTTTTATTTTATATTTTTATGGAGCTTTGGAATCAAAACTCTGCACTTCCACTCATTCAAAAAATATAAGAATGTAAAGGAAGATGGTGGATGAGTTGAACACGTTTATAAAGAAGGTGAGAACTGAAGAGAAGCCAACTGAGACTAAATTATGATATGTATTTCTACTAAGATTCTTCTCCTTATAATCTGATTAAACTAATTAGTACAGGAAAATCTTTTATTATCGTCGGACTTTTTAGCGAATATATATGCACCGAAAAAAATAGGGGACTAATTAACCAACGGAATATGCGCCGGTAAATTTCTGGCGGAATTTCCGCCGTTATGTTATCGGTGCATATTCCGCCAACGTATTCAATGGTATATATTAAATTCCGGCACAATTTCCGTCGAAAATTATTGGCGGAATCACCGGCGTAAATTATGTCGGCTTACTTAAACTAGGCAAAAATTTTCTGACATGTGAATTACTGTCATATGTATTTCCGTCAAAAAGGGGATATTTCGACAGATTTTCTTTGTTACCGGTATATTTTGCCCGTCGTTAACAATTAAGTGTTTTCCTGCCTTATAAGGGTCCGATTTGTGCTATCACGATTTTTTTTTTTTTAAGATGGTTCTAAGATTATTGTGGAAAAAATAATTTTTTTTAAAAGTTGTTATATAATACAACTTTTTAATTACAAAGATTTATTAAAAATAGTAAAAATCCGGTGGCTAAATAAAAACTTTAAAAGAAAAGAAGTAAGAAAGCTGACTTTTTTATTGCTTTCTAAAATAACTTTTTAATACAAAAACTTTTTAGTTCAAAATTTTTTTGTTCTAAAAAATTGCTTTAAAAAACAGTAAGAAAGTTATCAAGCCTAAATTAAAAATAAGCATTAAAGTCTTAAAGCAAGGAATGCATGTATGTTGGGGATTGTATTGAAAAGCATAGTAATTATCTTAAGCAAATCAAAATAATGCATTAATATAATAAGTATTTAGTTATTAATTAAATTTTTTATTGAAGATTAATTTATTTTTAATTATTAATTAATAGGTATATAATGAGTTATAATCATTGTAATCTAGCTAATTAAAATAATTTTTTTATAAAAATGAGAATACCTAAGCACACTATTTGTATAGCATGATTCTAAACCAAACTATTATATATTATTGAATTTATATAAATTTAGTAGATAAAAAAAATTTCAGGTTTGTTTGATGCATCCAACATGTTTTGTACAAAGAAATATCATCATTATAAAATAGTGATTATTTAATAAAAAGTCAGACAACTATTTGTCTATTTTTAACATATTTTTAAAAAACAATTTTTGGATATAAATTGTGGCAAAATTAAAAGATTCAGGCATGATTATTTGATTAATTTTATTTTAATTATGAACAGCCTAACGTAACCCCCCGACTTTTCTTATCCAAGGTTTGAGATCTGACAACAGTAGTGTTATTAAAATGTCATTCTTCTGATGAACCAATTATGAAAGTAGATGTATCATATTTGACCTATATTAAGAAAGACATACATACCTAAAAAGTCTTGGTTATAAAAAATTAGAAATGATAAATATTTATTAAATTTAAATGAGAATTTGACTTTTAACATGATACAAAGGAGAAAAATAAGTCATGTAGCCAACCCTGTCGTAGAAATTGTGGCAAAAAGTTATATTTTTAACATTTAAATTGTAAAAATAAAATAAAATAAAAAATAAAACACACATGATATAAAGCGAAGCATTAGTATTCTCTATTATATCAAAAAACTCCTTCAATTTTATAATGACACGTGTCATTTTGAATATTATTATGTTAGAACAATTACGATGGTAGAGCAAGAGCTAAAAGAAACACCATAATTTTTTTATAAAAAAACTCGTAAAAAGAAAAAAATCATGAGGTGCTACCAACGTTGAAATTATTATACTAGTATTTTTTTATTAATTACAAATGATGTACTTTCTTGATTCATAAAGATGTTGATGCAATAAACATAGACTGCACAAAATGATTGAATAAGTTGAAAACATCATGTGGCATAGGAGTTTGTTTTCAAAAGATAGTTTACTATTTATTTGATCATTCTCCTTTGAGGAGAGATCACAAAATTCAATATAAGCCTTGGTTTCAATGCTGACAATTAGAGTTAGCATAGATGGCATAAATCGATTTTATGGGTGAAGGCATGCATTATTGGAGATAGCAGGCAACGAAGTCAGCGAGCATCGATAGCCAAGTGTCATTGGTCAAAAGGTCGTTATCAAGTGATTGTGATCAAAGGTTCGTAGTTGGGCAACGACTGTCTGAGAATCGTAGTCAGGTGGGGTGGTCCAACGAATGTAGTCAAGCGGCTGTGGTTTGAGGAACGTAGTTGAGCGGGGATGGTTGGAATATCGTAGTCAAGTGATGGTGTTCATGAGGTTGTAGGAGGGCGACGGTGCATGTTCAAAGGACCATAGTCAGAGGAATATAAACAAGAGATTGTACTCAAGTGAAAATTATTAAGAGAACATAGTCGATTGATAGTGGTTAGGAGATCATAGTTGGACAAAAATTGTTGAAGAAATGTAGTCAGACAACGATGGCCGGGAGACATTAGTAGAACGATTATAGTCAAGTAAACATGATAAAAAAGATCATGGTCATCAAAGGATTGTAGTCATGTGATGATAGTTGGAGGACCATGGTCGGACGAATGATCCTAGTCAGGCAACGGTAGTTGGAATATCATAATTGGGTGATAGTGGTCAAAAGATCATAATCAAGTGCTGGTGTTCTAAGGATCGTAATAGGAAAATGAAGATCAGAGGATCATAGTAAGGCGATGGTTGTTGGGGGGTTATAATCAGGTGATGCTAGTTTGAGAACTATAGTTGGATGAAGATGATTAGAGGACTAGTGGTCGAGCAATGGTGGTAAGTTGTAGTCAAATGATGACCGATGGTGGTAATCAGAGAATTGTAGGTGGTTGTATGACTCTAGTCAGGCAATGATGATCTGAGAGTTATAATCAAACAACAATAGTCGGAGAATCATAGTCGGACAACTATAATCGAAAGAACATACTCAGGCGACAATAATCAGAGAATACTAATCAGACAACGATGGCCCAAGGATTATGGTCAAGCGATAGTTGTTTGATGATGTTGGTTGGGAAATGCTCCAGTGACAACAATCAAGCAATGATGCTACTCAGGTGGAGCTCTAAAATTCTTCGACACTTTAAATTATCCTGAATCTCAAGCTAAGATCCTTACTTCTCATATAGAGAGGAGCCTATTTATCAATTTTTTAGAGTGGCATACCTCACAAATATAGTGAAATCTAAAATACTCTATCAGACAATCTATATTAGAACATAAAAATTTATTTTCATATTTAAATGTGTTGATAGTATCAAAATTAAGTGATCTCAGCTTTATAAAAATGATGATAATGTCTCATCCAAAATGTTATAATATATCATATTTTCACACATTTAGAGCTGAACTTTTTTTTTTTTTTTCTGGAGCTGAACTTCTCACACATTTAGAGAGACTATTAGATGGAGAGACTTCTCAAATTTAGAAAATTAATAATTCTAACAACTATTTCAATATATAATCCTAACTTCTCCAGCTATTGAGGTCGGATCCTTGTAATCTACAATCTATATAATGAAACTATTTCAATATACCATTTTTTTTTCCACATAAAAAATCTTCTCTAATATGTTACGAGTCATGTAATTGTGTGCGATATTTTAGTTGTGCGTTCAGTATCAATTATCAATTACTTAAGAGGTGAAGCCATAAAATAGCTTTATATAGCATTAACAGTTAAACTAATAAATAAGTCCGTAAGATACCTTCAATTGTGAACGCGTAGTAAATCATTTTTCAGGCTCAGGACCAACTCTTCTGAAGTGCATGACTATGGCCTCACTACAATAAAATAAATTCTTAGTTTGAATGCTAAACTACTTAATAGTTATATAAACAACACATGTTATTGGTTTTATTCAACTACTGAATGCACTACAATATTGAAGCTTAATAGTTAAATTTTATCCTAATTACACTTAGGGGCTATTTGATAGCAGGATTTAGGCAGGATTTGAGTGAAATCCAACCAAACAGACTAAATTGTAAAACCAAATCTCAAAGCAAATGAAAGCCACAGTAGACGAAAATTCCGCATTTCATACTAAATCCCGGATTTCCGAAATCATATTTTTGTCAGATTTACAAAATCCATTCACTCGAGAGGAAGAGTCCACTGGTTAAATCCGCTCTATAGTAAAACAGTCGCACAAGATTTAATAAGATTTATCATGAATGTTACCAAACAATTTTCAGGATTTAAGACCCTCCGAATTTTCAAAATTCAGATTTAGAGGATTCACGAAATCCTACTTAAATCAAATCCTCAGTGCTACCAAACAGCCCTTTAGTAAAAGATAAAAGAGAGTATAAACAGTTGGTTTTTTTTCCGTAACTATACAATAGGAGAGCCAATTGATAATAAATATGAACATAAACAATTTTCTCTAGATCTTGATGAGCTCTTTCAGCCACAGAATATAGTAGAGTGTGCACCATTAAGAAAATCAGATAGTGCAAGATTTGCCACTCTCAACAATATCTTGATGATAGTGACATTGATAATTGCCAATTGGCCATGTACTGGGAACAGTCAAAGTTAATTTTGTATTATAAGAAGCAATGAAGTATAAAATGCAGTCAATTTTGTGTGGGAGCTTATTGAGCAAACATAAGGCTTTAAATCCATTGGTTGTGAGCATTGAAGATCAAAAAAACTGGAATGTTGTGCCCATTCATGGCTCCAAAAAACAAAAAGTCTAAATGCTTTCATTAAGAAAGAGAAAGAGAGTTCAATAACCCTAAATAGCTATATGTATTACTTCCAATCTGTTCAAGCCAACATTAGTGGGACTATATGGGATGGTATAGCATTGCTCTTAACAAATGTAGAATAAATGTACCTACACCATCTTCTGCATTCGTTGCAAAAAGGGCTTTTGGTATGGAACCCTAGCTTGCGATTAGCCTGCAGAAATCTAAAGATTGTAGCAAAATAGCGTATCACAATCTCCTGGTGCCATTAAACTTCTGCATAACACAATATTTCTTTACCAGAAAATGGCAGAAAGCATCTCTCGTCAATTGCAATTCCGAACAGCATCTACAGAAAGCAGCAGTTGATTCCATGAGTATCTGCTAAAGGGGAATTGCAGGGTGTGGTATGGTAAGGGAAATCTAGAAAAAAATGTTCCAATAAAGACAGAAATGACATAAGTATGTAGAAACAATTGCTACAAATTGAATACCGCATATAACTAATATGCATAAAACCAAGACTTCAAATATCAGCTCTTTTGGTCCACTGCAACATGCAAATAACATGGCAACCGATGTGGGGCCCATTCAAGAGTGTTCTTGTAAATAACCGAAAAACAAAACCCACATATAAAGAAAAAAGGAAGAGAGAGAGTGAGAGAGGGAGAGAGTTAAAGAGAGGTTTCCAGGGAAAAAATCAAAAGAGGATGCATGAGATTTTTTCGTTTCAAAAAATATATTGATGAAAAATGATTTGGAGTTTTTACAATTTTGACCAAAATGGCCACTAGAACTGTAAGAAGCTTAACAACCATCCAAATGCAGAGCTGAAATTTATATTGTACTACTATCATTGTTACACCTATCCATACCTATTTGAAATTTATATTATCTCCCCATCTGTTTGATACTTTGATGCATATTCAATCATTCATCATACATGTCAAAACTATGTAAGTCTATTTTTTATTGTATTCAATATATGCTACTCCAATCATCTCTTAAATATTATCAGTTCTCAATATACTCTTTGTGCTTTACCATGCATTCATCTTAGCATACCAATTTTTGGAAAGATCAACTTGGCTATCCATATAGTCTATTACACAACACCCAAATCCTTACAGCACAATTAGCATAAGTGTATGTACACAAAATAAAATTTACAAATAAAATTTCATGAACAAAAATTGAAATAATTGCAATTTACATTTTCAAATGAGGGGTATTCAAGGAGAGAAGAGAGAGAAATCCAAGTGAATGGATTTAAGAAACTATCTAATATCACACCACCAATTTCTCTTCCTTATACTAATAGCCAACCATTCTTTAAGAAAAAATATAGAGTAATTAGCTATCTTTAAGGAATCATTATACATAATTGAATGGATGAACAATTTTAATATAAGGATTTATAAACTTGTGCATTCAGTTTGATTGTGGATAGATATGAATTCAATCCTACTATGTTCTATAAATACGAGGCCTTTATTATAATTCAATATTAAAGTTGTAGCATTGAATTCTCTCCCTCATTTTCTCTTATCTTAGATTTCAGCCAAGTTTCACAATAAACCCTCTCTCCCTCTACATTAGCACAGAGTCCAGAAGCACCTCCAAGGTTATTTGTCAGCTTCTATATGTCTCTTCTTATATTGATGATAAGAATGAACGCCTCAATTCTTCCAAAAAAAAAAACTAATTTGATTGCATTTCCTATTCATGCCATAAGCCTTTATCACCCAATTCCAAATCATCTGAAACTCCCTCCCATCTCTTTCCTTCCCTCACTGAAAACCATTCACAACAATAGGGCTCACTATCATTCTCTCCTTCAATTCTACTTCATGACAGCATCTAAGCAATTACCATGACTATGCCTACACATCTCTTGATTTACACGCTCACCAAGCATGCAGTAACATCTTCATTATTTATAACTATCCTCTCTATCCAACCCAGAGGAACTTGATTCATGTTCAACTATGTAGCGCATTGGCATCTAACTTTTTTTTTTTTTCATTGGCATCTAACTCTTCATCTCTTTTGGATGCATCTTCCTCAGATATCTGAAATGTTTTAGTAATGTTTATCATAACATAACCTATTATCATCATGTTGTCGCCTCCTACAGTGTTAATTTCTTCTTTCACGTTATCTAAACATCCTCGCTCCAAATATAAAAAATCTCACCGTTTTCAAGCATGTTATTATTTCTAGCAGATTTATCAAATCAACATCATTGGTCAATATAACTAAAGTCCTCATAAATCATACATTAATTTGATTACAAATATTACATTACTATTAAGGCTTAAAAGCTAATGTTGAGTAAATGTCATACCCAACATAGACTTCTTAAAACTTGCCTTTATCAAATGTTGAAGATAAAGAACTAATCTCTCATGGTTAATAAATATAAGAAAGGACATCTAAATAAAACAAAAGTGCATAATATAGAAATAAGATTGTGTACCTTTTGACCTAAAACCTTAAATCAACTTAGGCGTTGTTTGGTATTGGATTTGTACTTGGATTTATGCCAGATTTACGGTAAATCCTGCCAAACAAGTTTGGAGCACCCTGTAAATCCCAATTCCACATAAATCCTAGATTTGCTCGATAAATCCAAGATTTACTAAATTCCGACATTCAGGAGAATTTACGAATTTGTGGACTACAACATTTAAGAGCTTGCAAGCGAGCTAACTCTCGTTTTGAAAGAAGGAAACGGTTACCTACGCAGCAAACCAGCTCCCATCGTGATTGCCGATTCGACGCCAAAGAAGGAGGTGAAGCAGCGAGCTCGCGTCGTGCGAAGCACACACTGCATGTGAACCCGAAGCAACCACAAAGAAATGGTGACCAAATGATAGACTGTCTGCTAAATTATAAATTAATCTAACTTAGCATTTTTAATATAATTCAAATATTAATAATTAATTAGATTATTTAAATAATTATTAGTATAATTAGTAATATAATTAAGTAATCTAATTTACTTAAATTAAATAATTAATATAATGATCATTTAATTAGTTTAATTAATATTTATAATTTGTTGGTTAGTTGTATATTTGTCATTAAATTAGTTTAATATTTTAAATATTTAATTAAATCATTAATAAGAGTGAATTAAATAATTAATAATTTCAAAACATAATTAACATATTAATTAGGATTTAAGAATATAATTAGATAATTAGGAATATAATGAGTAATTTATCATTATAACTTATTACTTTATTTTTAATTATATATAATAACTTATAATGATAATAATTTAATTAGAAATTAGCTTAATTATTACTAATTATCAAATTATTTATTATACTACTAATTATCTAATTATCAATTAGTCTCATAGTGACCACGCAAATCAAATTCAAAACACTTTGAATTTAATTTCTAGATGAACCAACCGCCTTAAATCCTGGATTACATTACCAAACAGTTTCTTAGAATTTATCAGGATTTAACTTACGTCATACCAAATAGTTTTAAGGATTTAACACCCTCAGGATTTACTAAATCCGGATGTACAGGATTTACTAAATGCCACTAAAGTTAAATCCTATTTGTTGTTAAACAACCCCTTAAAGTTATCATTGAGATAGCAATCACCAATCAAATTATATAAAATAAAAAAAGATGTCATGTATCCAAAATAAAATCCTAAATTCCTAAAAAAATAGTACAAAAACCTTTCAGAGAACGATTAAAATCATATATTATTCAAAATAAAAAATAATGTGTATTGAATCCAAATTGAAACCTTAGGTTTTTACACAAACAAATTTCAGACTATCTTCTTGAGGTCTTGTGACCACAAGAAGATTTCTTGAACAACAATTAGTGTTGAGTGAAGGTTCCAGTTGGAGGATGTACCGCACTAAATGGAGGTTCTGAGGCAGCAATCTTCTCCTCTACCTCAATTAGGGATGACAAAACTATGAGAGTAGCAAAAGGAAAGTAAAAGAAACACAAGATAGAATTTAAAGAGAAGTAAAGATCTCTCAAAGAGGTCCCTCAACAATGACAAAATGTTGGATGTTTTCAGTATCTTGGTTGTAACTAATGGAACAATTACAATTTAAAAATAGGAAAATTATAACAAATGGAACTTCGGTTTAGTGTTTTAAATAACATAAACCAATGGGCAACGTGGTATAAATCTCACCAAATTCTCCAAATCTTAATGGATATCGTCATGTAAAAGAAATCATAAAACTACTCCATGATCACTTCTAACCCTCTAAATCTTAATGGAAATCTTATTTGATCCATACCTTTATGAGTATACTTCAAAACGAAAATCACTTCGCATTTTCTAGAATAATTTAAATGCTCACATTTTGCTAACTCTGCTTTTGAAAACATATCCTCCTTAAAACTCTCATTTAATAATTTCTCAAAAATAACATTCATAGCTTTCCTAAATACCTTCTTCAAATAAAAACTTATTATCATCAATTTCAATTCATATAACTATATGTAGTTTTCTTTCATAAATAGAAGTCTTTTAAATCTCGTATATATTGCTTTACGTGTTTAGTACTACCCGTTTCTCTTTCCTTGATGCCCTAGCCTATTGCATGAATCACCAAAACTGTAATTTTTCCCTTGCTTACAACCTTCTTCACAGATTTCTAATTTTCTTATAATCATTCCAATTATCAATAATATTTACATATTGTCACTACTTCAAAACACGTTTATTTTACTTGATGATTATTTGAGTCTCTTCACCCGACTAAATAAATATATTTATGTAAAATTTATTTTTAAACTACCTTAAAATTTAAAAACAAAAAGATTATGAAAGCAAATCAGATCAGATAATGGTTTCACAAAGACAATCCAGTAGTATATAGTAAGATGCCTAGCAACCATGAAGTCAAAAAGGAACGTGGAGATTATTTAAAAAGAAAAATGAGAATTTGGAGGGCGTTGATTACAACTCTAAAAATCACATGTAAATGTCTGGACATAGCCTGCAAATGAAACGGCTTCCATCAAAGGTGCCATCGAAATCTAGCACAGCCAGCATGCTAAAAAAAGTAGTGAAAATTAAAAATATATGTTAGAACGTCAAGAAAAATGAGCAATTCAGCACACAAGAATAACGAGCAATGTCCATTGAAAGAATACCAACTCAATGACCAAAATTTAAGGCTTCTGCAAGTATTATAGCTCTAAAGAAACAAAATCACTTAATACAAAAAGTGTTTCTTAAAGTTGACAAGTATACCGCTTAAAGCATGATCTCTTAGAATATGGGGTAATAATCTTTGACATTATCAAAGTATTACATTTGCAGGTCAATAAAAGAAGCTACCAAATCAACAAAAGAACGACATTAGAAATATTACAATCAAGCATACAAAATGATGTCCCCTATTCCCCAAGAACTGAGTTAAATTGAAAAAAAAAAGTTAAAATAGATGTTTCCATACTTTCAATGACATTGCTGTATCCACATTCACATAAGTAATAAGGAGACAATGAATCAGGACCATGGTGAATGAATAAAACCTGATATTTAGGCCTTCGATTTAACAGACAAGCCTGTTTCAACCTTCTTCACTTCAAAAATCAACATCCTCCACATTTTGAGAACAAACATCTCTGCCTCATCATCCAATATAGATTGTAGCAACTCGAGCATTTTTGAAGCTCTAACATGTTCTTTTGTACTAGAAACAATATAATCCACCAAGGTCGCTTCCTCCTCTCCAAGAAACTCAGTTATCTTCTTTGAAATCCATGGTCTCATTCTTTCATGCAATGCATGCTATAAATTAAAAGGAAAAAAGCAAAAATGAGAAAGATACTAAAATAATTCCATCCATATAAAAAACATCTAAGAAGGTTTGCATGCTTCAAATCCTTCTAAGTATCACATCACGCTTAACATAATTATAAAAAAATTGCAGTGTTATCACCCTTAACAGCATACTTATAATTAAAAAAGCATAAAAAAACAACTGTACCAACAGAATATATCCAGTCACATCCCCCACGCTCCAACCACACAGAATGAACACAGAAAAGATAATTTAATGGTCACCCCGGAGTTTCATATAGGCATCGACCCAGAGTCAACAAACAACGGGTAGACAACAGTCAAAGGAGGGAAGCGAGGAATATTTATGAATTAAAAATATATGTGTATCTAAAGTAAATACAGGGAAAACAAAATTTAATGAATTTCCAACTGGCAGTATATTCTAGCCAACTACCCAAAATCAACATATAGAAGCTAGGCCATGGACAAAGGAGGTAAGTGGATCATATTAAGAGAGGAAAATTGTATCCCCAGTACGCAAAGGCAATTAATAATCATATCAAAGATTATAATTTTGCATCTTAAACCACAAGAAGAAGCTTGGCAAGCAATAAATCATGGTTAAAAACAATACAAAAGAATTCAACAAAGTCTGGCATAAAACTTATGGAGCAATAATACTCTAACCTTGTCATAAACAGACCAATTTATTTCATATGAAAAGAGCTCCTCTTTAGTCTTTGGTATCATGTCAATCAACTGTTTTGCATCTAAAAGCTTTTTGTTTTCTGTTTTCATCTTATCATCCCGTTCAGAAACTTTATCATGCATCTTTTCCTTGATTTCACTCCTAGAATGGGTTACATCGTACTCACCCCGGTCACGATCTCTACGGCTCAATCGCCCATTTCTTTCCCTTTCAGTTTCATTCTTCTCTTCTTTGGAGTTTGTAGAGATGCGCTTGGCGAATTCAGCAGCTGCAACAATATTTGGTGTAGCTGCAGACACATTTCCTTTCACAGCCTGCAACTCCTCATTAGAGTAATCAATGGGTACCAAGGGTCTCATCTTTTTCTCATCTACATCTTCGTCATCCTCCTGATGGAAAACAGATGGAACAGTGGCTCGTTTTCCAGAACCTACCAGGCCAAACCCTAGCTTCCGAACTGGGCCATCATTCTGCTTCATCTCTGGAATTGCAGCTGATCCTGTAGCCATTTCACTGCTGATAGTTCCATAAAGTCCATTACCTGTGCAATCAAAATCATTAGAATGTAAATAAATGAAAACCTAAAGCAAGCAAGGCATGAAAGAAAATGCTAAAACAACCAGCCTTACCAACAGTATCAGAAACAGCTCCTTGATCTTGTTCAAAAGCAGTTTCACCTCCTTCAACAATCATTTCTTCTTTAATTATAGGCTTTTCATTCTCCTTGATCACCTCAGGAAGCTTAGGTTCTGGATTCTTGCTGGCTTTCTGCTCTTCAACTTTCCTCTTCTTTGCTTCTGCAACCTCTTCCTCTTCATTTAATCTATCAAGAAAATCTTCTTCTTTTTCCCTAAGTCTCTTTCTTCTCCTATCTTCAAGCATGCCACTTCTACGTCTCCTTTTCCTTGAATCATCATCTTCATCACTTCCCTCTTCATCCATTAGTATCTCCTTTCTCCGTTCCCGTTGCCTATCCTTCTCCCTATCCTTTTCATGCTGCCTCTGGTATTCTCTCTCCCTTTCCCTACCTTCCCAATCCTTCATACGGTCCTTGTACAATCGTTCAGCTTCTCGCATTCTCAAATCCCTTTCTCTCTCTCTCCTCGTTCTTTCCCGTTCACGTTCTCGTTCATATCTCTCTAGTTCTCTCTCTTTATCCCGTCTCAAATCACGTTCTCTATCTTTCTCTCTCCTTCTATCATATCGTCTCCTATCCGGTGAGCTTGACTCAGGCTTGTCATGATCAGTATGCCTGTTTTCGCTTGTAGTTTCTTCATCATTCCTTTCTTCCGCCGCATCTGCAAGAAGTGTATACATTAATAAATTATTAAATTATAATGACAGGAAAATTTTATAGAAAGTAGACTTAGCATGAAGTTGTACTCACCACTCTTCATAATATCAATATCCGAATCACCATCCTTGGATCTAGAAGGAACCTCAGAGTTTGATTTAGCAGGGCCATCGGTTGAAGCTGGTATAGGAGGGGGAGGGGGCAATGGGTTGGTTTTTAATCTCTCTTCAATCATATTTGTAACCTTAACTAAAGCATCCTTATCAGCTTCACGATCTTCATCTGAAACAATACCAAATTGATGGATGTCTTGGTTTCCTTTCTCACCAGAATCTTCTGTTTGTTTTTTTGCTTCATCAATAACCTGCTTTGGAGGCTCTTTCTTTTCAGAGGGTATGCCCTCATTACCCTCAACAGAAGCATCTTCAGTTTCATTGAGTTTCTCTTTTTCTCTTTCAATTTTCATTTCCACATAGCGTTCAAGATATTCCCTAGTTGCTTGATTAATATTCAACTGCCCAATATCAAATTTAGACAAACAGCGACTCCAGAAGAAAATGAATTTGTTAAGCAAAATGAAAGGAAACCAGCCTTATTACAGTAGTACAGGTTACAAATAACCATTTAAGATCACAAAAAATCATGCAACAAGTCAAATCAGTAATTGTACTGTCTGAGATGGTAAAAATACACAACCAGCAGTAGCAGGACATTTCATCATAGAAAATAGATTCCAATTCCTAGACTGCTCATTTGTCAAGCTAAGAAATCTAGATTGTTTGATCTCTTTAACATCAAGCAACTAAAAAAAGATAGAGCTTTAGGATTATTTAACAAATTATATGCACGGAATGATAATTCAATAAACAAAGGTGAAATCTATGTGATAGCCCTATACAAATTCCCACTAATAATATAAATGCATTAGCAAGAAAAGTACATATATGATGTCCAAAAACCAGGTATGATTGTATTTCAATGTTAAAAAAAAGTGTAAATTAAAAAGTGAATATTACCACAAGCTCCTGTCCATCAATATTCAATCTACTAAGAAGGCGGAGAGCTCGAAGGACACCTTCAGCAGCCTCAAATTCACAAAAACCAAACCCTTTAGGTTTTCCATCTGAAGGATCTTGAGCACGTTTCCAACTCTTTACTGGGCCACAAATCTTTGCAAGGAACATAAAAATTGTGTTAGGCACTGAAAGTTACAAATAACTTCTAACTTGTAGAGATGAAAAGATAAAAGAACAAAAAGAAAACAAATCTCCATATTAAAAGAGAAATATTGTAGATTTAATCAATACAATTATAAAGGTCAAAACAAACCCGAAGAAGAGACAGCAGAAAGTCATTATCAACTGTTGGAGCAATCTTCCCGACATATACTGTGGTCTGTGGCTTCTCTGCTGGAGAAAGTATGGGAATAATTGGCCGCACCATAGGGGTAATCATAGGAGGTATCGGACGAACCCCAGGGAGTGGAAGTCTAGGAACTTGTGGAATCACACCAAAAGGAGGCATAGGTCGCAATGGAAAACCAGGTCGAATCATGGCTGGGTATGGCCCAGGATAACGTGGAACTCCTGCAGAAAGTCAAGTAACAACTATGCAAACCTTTAAGGACGGATCCATCAAGTAGAAAAAGGAGGGCAAAAAAATACAGGACAACACTTCATATTTTTATTATCTAACAGAAGAGAAAGATACAAACAGAAAATTGATCAAATGATGTTACCACACAACAAAAGCATACAAGAGATGTGCAGCACACTCATGGCAAGTATCACCAGCTGAACAATCAACCTGAGGGGTCAATCGAAAATAATAGTGTGCGTTTTAAGAAGTAGACATAGTAAAGCCAAGCTTACCTTTCTATATTGTTGATCATATTCTTCAGATGATATCCCGAGTACTAAGCATGAAATTGATCATGTGAGACGTGCAGAGCTCAAACCATAGAAATAGAAAATCAAATTTATAACAACACTATGGATGTTTAATTGTTTTGAGAAGCTCGTATCAAAGAAAGTATCATTTAAGAATGAAATGAAAATCAACAAGATAAATACTTGCATGCAGAATGAAATCAAAAGAAATCGGTGTACCTTGACCTGTTATTGCATCGAGCCCTTAGATGCTAAAACATGATCCACTGTCGATGAAATTATCAATAAGGACAGTGGACAAAGATACCCTTTCATCTAAAAACTGGTAGCAGGCTAGGTAAAGTAGGAAAGATCATTCATAAAGATTAAATGCAAAGAAAAACAAATTAAGCAAAAAAAAGTGTAGCTTCATGCTACCAATTCGCCATAGCTTGGAGAAATTATGCATACCAAAATATAGATGAACCGAAATAATCTCTTAAGTATCCCTTGTAGGGGCAAGATAATCTCTCCCCCAAAAAAAAACATAAGATGGCGCTGCAAAAGGACATAACCAGTCATAAGTATCAGATGCTCCCCCACCCAACCAACCTATACATTCATCATATATTATTCAACCTAATCAGGAGACTATATAATTACATGTATCCCAACAGAAGCAGGTCAAATCCAACTCAATTTCAATTATAACAAACCCAATTTCCTCGAGGAAAAATCTCAACTACATATGAACAATGCAATCCAAGTCTCCAAGATAAAAAACATTCCAGATTCATAAAAGAAACCTCAGTCGGCTAAGAGCTATAACTTAATGTGAGCATCCTAAAAGATGAAGTAGCAGTTAATCGGAAATCAAGCAATGAATGAAAACTTGATATTACATAGAAAACCCACCCGGTGGAGGGATCGCATGGGGCGCAGGTGCGGGAAACGACATATAACCATTAGAGGAGTACGGTAAAGGAGCCGAAGCCAGTGGCAGGCCGGGTGGCGCATGGTAAATGGTGCCCGGCACCATCGGATTGACCGAGACAAATTGAGTGGTGACACCTGGTGGCTGAATGTTAGGGTTCGGTACGGTCGTGTACTGGGGTATCGAAGGAGCGCCAAGCGGACGAAATGATGGGGTAAAGGACGGGGCGGCGGGCGGAGCAGGCGGGGTGATGACGGCAGGGGTCGGATTGAGACCGGCACTGGGATTGGAATAAATGGAGGGGTTTGGATTAGGGGGGTTAGGGTTAGAGTTCTCAAGCGGAGCGGCAGCAGCGGCGGGCACGGAGGTAGATGATAAGTCCGGAGTGGATGTTAGTATGGAAGGCGGGGCAATGGAGGTGGTCAGCGAAATTTCAGCATCGGGTTTCTCAAGCTTTATCTGTAGGGTTTCAGCAGAAGCAGGGGAGGCGAGCGCCATGGCGCTCAGAGGCTTGGGAGAAGGGATAGCGATAGGATCGACGGAAGTCCAAGAGAATCCTAGCTGTGATGTTGTTGCCCTAGAAACGAAGGCCGACTTGCAAACCGATCTGGAGTGAACGAAGAACTTCTTATGAGGAAAATATATGTGTTAGATTCATAAGAATATATATATAAATATATATATATAAAATCAAATCTTAATATAAAAAAATTCTTTTCTTTTATTTTCAAATTCCAATAAAAATATTTGTTTATCTTTTATATTAAATGTCATGACTCAGCTCAAGACTCGAATTAATGAGGTAGGAATAAATATTCAAGCAATTAAAAAAATTTGTTCTTTAATGTTAATGATGTTACATTTTTATATTGTGTTTTAATTACACAAATTTTTTTATAATTTTTGGACGCCAATGAAAATCCTTGAGAAACTGGCACCAATTGGTACAATTGAAAATTTTGGAACCGCCAGATGTAAGTTTTGCAAACCAATTTCACCAATATACAATATTTTCTTATAATTTATTGCCTACCGTTAGTTAAAACATTTTGGGACTTTTTGAATTAGACTTAATTAAACGTTGTTTACTGTAATGCATTGAAAATGATGCGGATATATGATTGAAGAAAAATTGGTCGCTATTATTATTATAGTATTGTGATAATGATGCGTGTAAAAAACAAGTAAATATTGAAAATGATGTGGATATATGGTTGACCATCGTTGTTCGACAATAATCCCTTCCATCTTAGTCGTCTGACTATAATCCTCCAACCTCCATCGCCCCATACAATTCCTCTGACCACAATCTCCTACTGACAATGAACTCTTTAACCTAAGTTGCTCAACCACAAACCTGTAAAATTCCATCTCCCGCAGACTACAATCACATCAACCAAACATACAAGCTAACGTTCTCTTGAGAACAACTCTCATATCATTAGATTCTTCCAACTTAAACCATGCAATGTGTTATATAAGATGTATATTTGCTACATTGAGCCAATGCTAACCCTCCCCCTTCCCCGATGAGGGGCATCATTAGTATAATCATTTTAATTGGGCCATACATATGATTTTGTTTTCAAGTAAAAATTATGATGTGTTGTATGACTCGTGCATCACTCTCTCTTTTATATGTATGTGTGCTAGATCTTTATTCAAAGCTAATGCATTAATCTCATCATATTTCTACCGCTAAGAATGTTCCAGCACACAACAACATTCATGTCGTATCTTATAATTTCTTAAGAATAATACAACCATCACTAGTGGGAGTGTCAAATCGTATCCACGGGTCGAGTTTGGGTTCAACCTACCTGACTTTGACCAGACAGATTTTGACCCAAACCAACCCGGTTTAGAAATCAAGTCACTTTTTCCAACCCTACTCAGTCCTTCCAAGTTCTATATAATCTCTTAATCTTAATATAAATATTATATATATTTAGGGGGGTGGGGCTTCCTAGGGGGGTCACTTGCCCCTCCTCTGAAATTTAGAAAATATTTCGTCACTCAACCCAGCCCAGCATATTCAATTGTCGTTCATTAAAAAAAAAACATGCGAAAGTTCTCCAATTTCAATAGCGGAATAAAACTTTTGACACTGAGAAAAAAAATGGTAATGAATATAGAGATTGGTTTGGAGAATGTTGCATTATTCGAGGAGATGACATGTTGTAGGTTTCACTTATCAGTAAATGTTGTAGAGGCAACTACAATAGAATAATTTTCACATTTAAGGTAAATCAATTTCTCAAACAAGTTTGAATGCTTCAATGAGGAATTTATAAATTGGGCAACAACCAGTTTGCTGCCATCCAAGTGCAAGAGGATGATGGTTGATATCATTGCCTCAGAGCAACAATTGCATTAAATTTAATTTTAGGTTACTAATGATAGTTAAATTAAAATAGTTTATTATAATAATTGATGGTTCATACATTTTGATAGAATTTATTATTCAATTATTTATATGACGAATGTAGTAAAGAGATATATTTTTGTTCATTTTGTGATATTTTTTTAACTTGTACGTTGTATGTATAGAATTTTTTTTTAATTATATTTTTTCCCAATACACATTGTGTATTGACTATGTATTACATTTTAAAAGTTAGGATTCAAAGATAAGAATTATTTATGTGGTATTTTTGTTCATTGAGTATGTATTGAGTGTGTATTACCTATGTACTAAGTGTGTATTGAGAATGTAATGATTATGTATTGAGTATATATTGAGTGTGTATTGATTATGTATTTAGTAAGTATTAATTATGTATTGAGTGTGTATTGTGTATTGACTTTATATTAATTATGTATTAACTGTGTATTGAGTCATATATGATTATATTTATCACAAAAATTGTATATGGTTATATTTTAAAATTTAATATAATATTCTTAATAATTTTTAAAATATTATGGTATGTACATATAAATAAGAATTTTAATGTTTATTAATATCACAATTGTTTTTATTACTTGTATTAGTAATCTTCTTAATTTTACATATTTATTAAAAAAAATAGTTTTGACGTGCAAACTCAATTTTACCTCCGACAAACTTCTTTTCTCCGAACTCGAACTCCTACCTCTGGTACTCCTTCAACTGCGGTTCCTTGAGAAGAAACTCTCTCTGATGTCAGACGAAGCTGCATGAATTCATGCACTAGCATTTAGAGCATTCTTTGAGGTAATAAACCCAAACTCGAACATTTTATGAGGTAATAAACTCAAACATGAGCTCCCTAGCTATGTAGTATAGTCAAGTGTAAAGTGAACATTCGAACTAACGAGACATGACCGTTGGATTGAAGGTTCACACCCCTCTGATTCTCTCCATGAAGTTTGATGTGATTTTGCAAGTGGGGTGGTCTCTCATATCACGCTAGAAAGAGTTTGCAACCAATAATATGCGTGGGAGGAAGAAGATGAAATCAGAGCCATTAATTTCGACTAATGGCACCTATTATATCCCGTGGCCTCGGAGGGTATTAAGATGGTGTGCATGTAAATATTGTTGTCTTGGTGTTAGATATGTAATTAGAGCAGTTGTAAGTGTTAGGTATATAAGAATCCCTTTATTTAAACAGCCTGCGAGTCGACAAGTATAATTTAATCAAACTTGAATTTGAGCTCATGGTTTGATAAGTTAGATTTGAGAGCTCATTAGCAATTCGAGTTCGAGCCTGCTCATCAATGGGCTTACGAGCCGGCTCAACTCATTTGCACCCCTAGAAAACACTCGTAAAATTACTATAAGAAAAAAAATGAGGTTTTTACATACCTAACACTTAAAAGTTCTATATTTACTCATATAACATCTAAACTTGCCTATTTACACTCCTACCACCTAAAACTTATATTTGTTTTCTAAAATATCATTCCGTCTTCCAGTGTGTCAAAACCCTCTTGGTAGGCACAAAGCGTCAGCCTTTATGTTTGTTCACAAGAAACTCAAGGGCCTCAACCCATTTCCTTCTCTCTCCTGTCGGTCGCCAGCCCTAGTCGACATCGTCGACTTGCCCTAGCTGTCAGCTCTCCTTCCTTAGCAAGGCGGACTCTTCCCATTCTTCTCTTTTGCTCCTCACTATTCTTCTCCATATAATCTTTTGCTCCTCCCTATTCTTCTCCATTTACCTTGAACATTCTCAAGTAATCATTTCATTTTTTTGTTCTGATTTTATGTAGGGATAAGAGTATGTATTTTCTTTGTAATATACTTCCTAATCAGCCCTAAATTTTTACGTTTGCTTGTTGTTTATTGACATGCTTTGGATTATTGCATTTTTATGTGTTGATTTTTGGTTATTGAATTGATTTTTCATCGATAGTTTAGTTATAGCATTTTCATCTTTTATAACTATTATATATAAGTTGTTCGTTAAAATGCCACTAAGAGAACAAAATGAAAAAAAAAAATTGTAGAGATTTGACAGGCCTATATAATTCAATCTTAAGATAGAATTGTATAATTATGATGTAATATATAGTGGTTTTTTTTTTTTGTTTTTGTTGACTACATTTATAATTTTACCTATGCTTTGTAACTGCAGTAATTTAAGATTTCTGAAATGAGCTCGAGTCGCTCCACTCCATCGCCGAGAAGCCAAGACAATCTAGTGTATTGTCATTGCAATATGCAATGTCAAATCTATACTTGCTACAAAGCTAAAAATTGCATAAGAAAGTTCTATAGATGCCCCCGAAACATATGGGAAAATGATTGTAGATATTTTAGGTGGTTTGACGAAGAAAATGATGAAACAGAAGATATAATTCACCTAAGGAGTGCAAATGCATCAAAAGTTCATTCCAAGCATGCAATCTCAGTTACATTTGAGTTGCTTCAAATTAAACTATTGTTGGTTATCCTGATTTTGCTTGTTGCTGTTGTCGTCAATTCTTTATCAAAGACTTGTAATTGCAAATGAATGTAACTTAGTAATCAACATTAGAAGAACATGTAAGCATGCCCATTACATCTCTTTCATTTGTAATCGATATGTAAATTTTTGGCAATGTCCCATTGATATGATAGTGTAGATCGTAGGCTTGACTCCTAAGCCACCTACAAAGTGCTTCAGATTGTTCTTTCAATACTAACAAATTAATATCACCTAACTCAAACTTCAAAGTTTTCTAACTTCCACTGACATATTTCATCCTACTTTGGCCCTTCACAGCAGCCCAATGTCCTCCATATTTGAAGACAATATAACACAAATTGTTGCAATCCATATTTGTTAGATTAATTATTAATAAAAAAAATTCAAGCAATTAGTATGAACAAGTATAGAGAATAGGAAAATAGAAGCAGAACTAGTGAATGTTTACAATCCACCAACAATCGTGTAAACATATCAATAAGGACTGCTGCTTCAAGTGACTAATTTGACAGTGGGCAATTGAAATCTATTTTTATTCATGCTTTAGGCGTAAAGAACATTGTAATAGGTTTGTACCATAATCTTGAGAAAGGAGATTTCCTTATAAGATATGATATGGAACCCAATTGTGAACTTCAAAATATCAGATACCCCAAACATATTATTAATTTAATAAAGAATTAAACATGCGCATTCATATATACTGTTTACTTTGTCTGAAACTTGTTTTATGGTAAGTTCAGTTGCAATAAAAAATGTTGGGAATTGGAAGATGCAAATCTTCTTTAGCAGCTTTCTGTATCCATTGCTACAAAACACATACAGATTATGTAACCTACCACTTCTCAAACAAATTCAATCTAAGGAAAATAGAGTAAATTATAACAATTTTAAGATTTTTAAACCAGAATTTATCATCTCAAAAATTCAGTAATGCAACCTGAATGGTGGAAGGACGTAATTCTGAAAGGAACATTTAGTTTCATATAATGGCTATAATCATTCAAAGAAGAAAAGGAGATGGATGATAAGTGTTTACTTAGCCTATTGAGATTACAGGAGGCCGATAGGAGACGGGAAAGGAAAGCTGCTTGGAGAGAAGGGGAGCTATTATGTTTCTCAAAATGAAGGTTGTATTTCGAGAAGACACAACATCAGAGCGCTGCTGCTCGGAGATGTTTCCCGAGCCCGAAGGCAACACAAAAGAGCTGCTCGGAGATGTTTACAACGAGCCAAATTATGTTTTCGCAACTTGGTTTAAACGGGAGCAGACAGAGTGTTATATTTGATTATGGCTAGACTAAAATTTTGATGTGAGATAAATAAATAGAGATATTTTAAGGCTTACGTATATAAAAACTCAAAAAAAAAAAAAATTATATGTTATATATAATTAGGGGAAAAATATAGCAGATAAGTTAGGTGTGTGAAAAAGCTGGAACACACCCACCGTCGTCACGCCATTAAAGCCTGGAAGTGGCTAATCGTCTGAGAGAGTTGCCTGTTCGTCTTTTATTGTGAAAGGAGTGCGGACCTAATAATTTATCCTGCGAGAGGGACAGAGAAAGGAGGCATGGCGTACCGTTCTCTCGATGAGATCACAGTCGAGCAAATAATGGCCACCGGCATACCGTCGAGTGAGGCGGAGAGGCTCCACGGTGAGCTCACTGCGATTATCCTGAAGCAGGGGAGCTCTGGCCCAGGTGCGTGGAGAAGCATATCAAGGGGACTCCTGAAGCCTAATCTCCCCTTCGCCTTCCACCAGATTATGTACTATGGATGTTACAAGGATTTCGAGTCTGCTACTCCACCCGCTTGGATGCCGGAACTGTAATTGATCTCCCTCACGCTTTAATTCTATTCTGGGGTTTATGTAACAGGAATCCAGGCTTCATTCTATGTGCTGTGCTTTTGCTATTTGGCATGTGGATTCTGAATTGTTTTAGACTATTGAGAAAATTTCTCAACTTGTTGGATGAGTGGAGGAGGTTGATGATCAGGGCTTCTTCTTTTCTAGGGAGAGTTACAATGTCCAACATTATTGTTGGAGCAAGCCTTGAGAAAATTGGAATTCATAAGATAATCTTTGAGATTGTAAATTAATTGGGCTTGCCGATCGCTTGTTTCCTCGTGATATTTTAATAGCTGTCTGAATCGTCCATGGCGTTTTAGACGGTAGGGCTAGCATTGGGTTTAGACTTTAGACATTACTTTGGTGGCCCTGAAGTAAGAGAATTATAGAAAGTTGTAGTATTGGTATATGTAGTGCCTTGGTATTATTGTTTGCGGACACCAAACTGGAGAGAAAGGTCTGGATTTCTGCTGCAATCAAACCATAATTACTGCAACAGCTGAGCTTTGACGGTAGAAAGGGAGAAATCCGGACGGTTCTCTCCATCCGGTGTCCGCACATAATAAAAAGTCCTCACCAAGAATACAAATCCGCGAAGCATAGTTGAGGTATTGTATGCAGAAATTGATGCTAGGGGCAAAACCAACTTTTTTTATGGTGGGCAAAATAGGATTGTAAAATGCATAATTTTATGCATGAAATAGTTTTTCTTAAAATTTGGGTTAAATAGTTAAAATATTTATACTTCTAAGACAATTGCGCACTATGAACTCTTTCTATTTCCACCCCTAATTGATGCTATTCATTAGCTTGTTGAGTTTCTAAGTTGTGTTTATATGCATAGAGAGGATGCTGTTTTGACGAACATTGGTCAAGTGCTGGAGCGTCATGGAAAAGTTTTTCTTGGTTCTAGATACAAGGATCCCATCTCAAACTTTTCAGATTTCCAGGAGTTTTCTGTCTCCAATCCGGAGGTACGTGTCTTTAGGATTGATTTGATTTGAAAAGATGATCAATGATGCTATTTAATTTGAAATCTAATTTTTAGATTCATTTTTTTCTTGCATAGGTCTACTGGAATTTGGTCTTTGAAGAGATGCAAATATCTTTTTATGAGGCCCCTGCACAAATGGTGAGGGAGCATACTTCTTATCCTGATTGTCAATGGTTACCCGCGGCTTCTATAAATGCTGCTGCAAATTGCTTGCAAGCAAATGATAAGAAAGGCCCAGATGATGTTGTCCTTATATGGAAAGATGAGGAGCGTGATTCTTTGCCTGTGCAAAGCATGACCTTGACGGAATTACAGGCAGAAGTCTGGTATGTTTAGTTTTGATTTAAGTTTTATCTGAAGTTGTTTTCAGTACCTTGTAGAATTTCACTTTTTCAAGTTAAATGCTTAACATTCTTGCCCTCGTACTTTTTTTTTAAATTAAGGGGGATTTACATACATACCATTTTATTTCATGCTGTTTACATATCTAACACCCAAAACATTAATATTATATGTCTACCACCCATAGACAAATTTGGGTGTATGGAATGAAATATTAAAGTTTATAGGATTGTATGAGTGGTAGAAATGAATTATAAGAGTGATATATTTGACATTAAAGTTGTATATTGGTGATAGGCATGTAATATTAATGTTTTGAGTGTTAGATATGTAAATATCATGAAATAAAGTGGTATATATGTAAATTTTCCTTTAATTAATTGTGCAGCAATACAAGAGGTTCAATTGTTCTTCTAAGGAAACACAAGTTTTTTTAAGTGCAAACAACAATGTTTTGCATATCAAAACCATTTTGTTGTTTGACATCGACTATATGAAAATAAAATGTCTAAGAAGTAAGTTTTTATGTTATGAAAAATGGACCAAAAATTTCTATTAGAATTAATTATATGCCATTGATTTCTTGATTGTATTTTGAAATTGCTCTCATGGTTCACTGGTGATGTAGCAAAGGGGGGGTCAACTCAAACCCAAAATAAGTTGGTTTTGACTTCCCTTGAGCTTACTAGTTCTATAAATTTCGAGCTGGAGTTTAACTCATTTATGAGCTAATTTTTAGTTCATTTATTGAACTAAAAGTTAGCTCATTATTAGCTAAGTTTTAGTTCATTAGTTATCTTAATTATGTAATTTTTATTTATAGTTTTTATGTCTTAAATTTAAGTTTATCTCTTGGGATTCCAAAATGGCTTTTGGAATCCTAAGGCTGTTTGTTTTCCCGTGCCTTGGCTCCTTGGCTTCCACGGTTGGCTTTTCCCGTGCCTTGGCTCCTTGGTTCCCACGGTGGGCTGCTGGTTTTCCGAGCTAGGGGCCTTTCCGTGCCTTTTGGCGCCTCGGTTCTGTGCGGACCTCTTTGGTTCCGTGGCTGCTCCTTCGGTTCCATGGCCGGGCTGTTTTCCCGTGAAAAGCTGGGGCTTGGATTCTCCGTGGTTTGTGTTGCTTGGATTCCTGTGGGAATTCAATTATGTGGCTGTTTGTATTCCCCTTTCATACCTATAAATATGAGGAGTTTTGTATTGTTTTAAAGAGAGTGATATATGAATTTTTGAAAAGAAATCCTTGGGATTTTCTTGGAGGAGCTTGCGAGCTTTGCGAGCTTTGTCCACCTTCTTCTTCCACCTCTTTGAGGAGACTTGCGAGTTCTTCTCCACCTTTCTTCTCAGGCTTCTAATCTCTTTCGTCTCTCCGCAAGTTTACACCCCACTTGTATCATTCTTATCAAGTAAAGCATGTTTAGGGTGTCGTTAATTTTTTTTAGAGTCAAGTTTGTAAGAGTTCAACTTCTATTTTGTAAGTCTTTTAATTTCTAAGTATTTCTTTATTTGAAATGTAAGAGTTTGCTCGTTTTATTACGTAGGAGTCTTTTTCTTTTATCTAATAAAGGTCTTTATCCTACTCTTTGTGGGCAGAGGTCCTCGGGCCCCCCATCACCCAGATTTTTGCCCGCATCAACTGGTCACTTGCTTGCTTAAAAAGCAACTCGTTTTGAGTTTGAATAGTAGCAACCCTGAACCTGCCCTTAGTTTTTCACATCATACACTTGATACCTGTTAATTTAGGCGTCTGCCTATCCTCCGTGTGGTGCTCAAATTCCTGTCTATGCTTCAACGTTAATTGATGTAGACAAAGGGGGGATCAACTCATGTAAAAAATAATTAGATTTTTGACTTCCCTTGAGTCTACTAGCTCAATCAAAATTGAGCTGAAATTTTAGCTCATTTATGAGCTGGTCTTTAGTTCACTTATTGAACTAAGAGTTAGCTCATTATTAGCTATAATTTTAGCTCATAGTTATCTTATATTAAATGTTCTTTTTATGTTTTTTATGTTTGTAATCATGTTTGTCTCTTGGAATTCCAACCCGGCCTTTGGATTTCCAAGATTTACTTTTCCCATGAGGTGGCTCCTTGGCTTCCTCCATGGCCTTTAGTATTTTGTGCATTTGCCCCCTTGGATTCTGGTCGGCTGCTGGTTTTCCCGTGCCTGGGCTCTTTCCCGTGACCGTGCCCCTTGGTTCCGGGCGGTCTCCTTGGTTCTCGTGGATGCCTCTTCGGTTCCTTGGCTTGGGATGTTTTTTAGGTATTTTAATGCTATGTGATTTTTAGAATTCCTATGGGAATTTATAAACAACACGACAGACACCCTAAAGTTGCTGCACTTTGAGAAGAAGGATACAGGTGGAGCGGCACTTGCGGAGAGACGAAAGAGATTAGAAGCCCGAGAAGAAAGGGTGGAAAGAGCCCGCAGGATTTCCGGAGGGGATGAGAAAGAAGGGTGGAAAGAGCACGCAGGATTTCCAAGCAACCCGCAGGTTAACATATTTTTTTTCAAAAATCACATTTCATTCACTTCACTTACTTCAAACATTATAAATCCTCCCATATTTATAGGTATGAAAGAGGAATACAAAAGGACACAAACATTAATTTAACACATAATTCAAAGCATTAAAAAGCATAGAAATCTCCCCCCAAAGCTCTCGGTTTACGCCCAAACCAGGAACCAAGAAGACAGCCACGGGAGACGAAGGGAACCGCACTGACTGAGAGCCACAGCCGCGGGAAACGAGGGGCAGACACGGAACAAGGAGCCAGCCGTGAGATCCCAAGAGGTAAAGCACAAAATTAAACTTCCCATGGTGGAATTCAAGGAGCCACACATGGGAAGACTAAACACATAATTTTGGGGATTCCAAAAGTCTTATTGGAAACCCAAAAGACTACAACATAAAAAGCTTAAAAATATTTAATAAAAGATAACAAATGAACTAAAATCCTAGCTAATAATGAGCTAACTTTTTAGTTCCATTTAATGAACTAAAAACCCAGCTCATAAATGAGCTAAAATTTCAGCTCAAATGGGTTGAGCTACTAGACTCAAGGGCCACGTTTTCTCTCAGATTTTCTCTGGTTTGGGCTGTTTTCCTGCTGTGGACAGCAGTTTTTCTTTATTTGATACTTGATTTGGGTTAGGATTGCTTGTGAATACAAGCACTTCCTATCAGCTTGTTGTTGTTGTTGTTGTTGCTTCAACGTTAATGGGTTGTGAGCGTTAAAAATCTGGTAGTACATAACTTCATAACCTATGCTACTTTTCCCTCACTCATAATAGCACATTGTTTTTAGTTGCATTTTTAATAAATTAGAATACATTTTTACATGATTAAACATTTTTTCTGTTTTACGAGTTTTCAAGATAATTGATTCCATTTGAGCATGTAATTATATCACATTGAAACTTCAGCTTACCTTTAAAGCGTTTAGTACATGATTGATTTCATGGGAAGCAGAGTGCCTGTAATTTTGCCATTTAATTTTGCAGGCTTGTTGCTCATGCTATTGATGAATTGGGCCTAGTGAAAGGGTCTTCTATTGCAATAGATATGCCAATGACAGTGACTGCTGTTATTATTTACCTTGCTATTGTTCTAGCAGGATATGTTGTGGTCTCTATTGCAGATAGCTTTGCACCCACTGAAATATCAACCAGGCTCACATTATCAGAGGCGCAAGCTATTTTTACCCAGGTTCAAAATTACTGCATTTGATCTTTATTGCTCGTTCTTGGCTGTCTCCACAAGTTGTGCTTGTCTGGGTAGATATGTAATGGCGTACTTTTAGCTGTTTCCTTTATATGATTGCAGCCATCTTATATTTCCTTGTTGTATGGACAATACTAAATTTTTTATTTTACTGTTAAATTGCTAAGATTGCATCTCTATTAATTGAACAATTTGTTTTCAAGACCATTAATTAGCTTTTTGATCTTTCTCTTTTAGGATTATATTGTTCGTGCTAAGAAAGAATTGCCTCTCTATCGGTATGAATTTCATGATCCTGTAAAAGAAATTCCATTGGGAGTCTATTTTCTTATATCAGGCTTTTGTTGCAGGAAGGTCATTGATGCTCATGCTCCGTTAGCAATTGTTATTGCTACAAGTGGATCCACCATAACAAGCTTGCGTTCTGGCGATATGTCCTGGCATGATTTCTTGGGGAGAGTTGAACATTGCAAGTATGGACTTTAGTTATGTATGTTTCCTTTTCTCTTTATTCTCCCGTCATGACTGCAATGTTTCTTATATTGTTCATTTGAGAGGTCTTCCTACGCTTCTTATTTGTGTTTAAGTTTTCTTAGCACAAAAAGAATTTCTGGTACTTATGGGGTTATAAATTATGTGTTACAAGAAACAGCTTCCTATGTATTTTATAAGTAACTTATATTTCTTTGTATTCCTAGTATAAAAGGTGTTGATATCTGGTATGATATGGACGCATATATGCTAAACAAACCTAAAATGCTATACGAAATTATGAAATGCCAAAGTAATCCAAATATTCAAATAAATTCAGAATTAACGGGCATCTAAGAATGATGCTGATTAGGATTTTATTCATTCATGGAAAATCAATCAGAAGCAAACAATTGGAAATAACAACTACAAGTGCTATATAGCTATACACAGAAATTATTGTTCTATTTTTGATCGATATTGAAAAAACCTAATCCTAGGACTACAAATACTCCTTTCCTTTAGCATAACTAAATCTCTCTTGTAGAAACTTTGATTATCAGTTCTATATGTATAATTGAAATCAAGTTATCAGAATGAGGAGGTGAAGGCGAAAAGAAAAGAGTAAGACAGAATTCAAAATAAAACAAGATTACCAAACTGAATTAGTGTTGTTCTGTTCCCATGGTTCCTTCTAGCATTAACTTGAACAAGATGGACGAATTCAAATTGAGCAATGGGGAGGAATTTTCATTAGAGGAGAAATCAAAGGTTCACTGTCCCATTCTTACGGTTGACAAAAATGCCCTTATATCCCAGGGAAGCACTTTACGATCGATAGTGCACAGTTAATGTTAACTGTACATAATGACAAGAATCATATAATTGTTTCGTAAGTTTTATTTCAACGTGTATAAAATTTAAGGAAAGCTTCTTACACTGTTGTTGCCGGGTGATAGAGATATTAGAGCTTGGAGGGTTTATCACCGTAGATGGCGAAGATCTATGGACTTGATTAAATCTTTATATTTTTAGTTTCCATGTGTTGTAGGAGATTTATGTGATGTTATTTATTTTATTACAATTTACCTTCACTTGAGGGAGCTTTTGTGTTGTTTGGCTAAGGGCTTTCTTGTCTTTTGTTCCTTTCATGTATTGGGTGTCTATATATATGATCCAATGTTCTCTTCTATGAATGATGAATATTTTGATATAAATTTCGGGTTATATGCTTCTTCTTCTCTTTTTGAGTTGAGTTTGTGTGTGAAGTTGATGGGGACATCAGATCATCATGGAAAGTTTACCAGCGACGTGGCCGCCGATCTACGGCCACGATCGAGTCTTTATATTTTTGAGTCGATGTATTTTATTTTCATGCATTTTATTATTTGCTTATGTGTGTTTTATTATTTCTCGTTGTACCCCTTTTTATGGGAGTTGTCATGTGTAAGCCTAAGGGCATTTGTGTCATTTTATTTGGAGTCTTTTGTATGAGGCTATTTAATGCCCCCTTTGTATTATTTTGAGGTTAATGGATGATTATTAAGAATTTTTCTGCACTTGTGTTTGAGAGCCTTTGAGAGTTCTTGGAGAGCTTTGGAGAGATCCCTTGGAGAGGGAGATTTGCATATCACCCACCAACCTTGGAGACGGCCGGATTCGTGGTTTTCTTCTTTATCTTTGTCATCTTCCCCTCGCCGAACTTCCCCACCCGACACCATCACAACCACTGGCCACCTCACCCGATCCCCTCCCCTTTCAATCCCCACAACCCAAGAATCCCCAACCCCTTGCCGCCGGCCAAAGCCTTAGCCGCCGACCCACTCATCCCATTGCCTCTTTATTTTGTTTCCTAATTGGGTTGGAATTAATTGGGATTAATTTGAAATTCAAAGTCATTCAAATTTGAATTCAAAATTATTTCCTAAATTAGCTCTTTTATTTTAGGAAAGTATTTGATTTAGATCTAATTTTGAATTTTAAATTCAAGAGGATTTAAATTAATTATTTCCTAATTCTAAAACCTAAATTAGGAATCCTTAATTGCTCTCATTAATCAACCCCTAATCCATGCATGCCAACCGGCCCCCATTACCCCCTCATTAAATTTCTTTTCAAATTATTTCCTAAAACCTGATCTAGCTTTAGGAAATAATTCAAAATTCCCCAATCCCTCATAACTGAAATTTCCACTTACCTTTTCCAACTAATCTATTCCCCAATCCAAGGAAAATAATTAGGGAATTCAGATCCCTTCCCAACCCTCATCCCGCTGCCACTCTCTCTCCTTCTAGCCATGCCGCCTCCTCTTTCAAATCCTCTCATTTTTCAAGTGAAATTGCTGTTGTAATTCCGTGCTCTAATTTTCAATTCGTTACTAACTAGAATATGAGATCTCCTCTCAGATTTCTGGACAGAAAATCTGAAATAAATTTTCAGATTGTTAGAACGAGGCTTGAGGCTATTCTCTTATCTCTTTGCTAGAGAAATTCCTCATTCTCTTTACCATCATTTGAGAAGGTACCAAGGGCCGAGGAAATTATACTTTAATCCGGAGACTGAGTACGGCGTCACTTGGGACGACGACGGCTTCACCGACATCCTCTGTTCCACATTCTTCGACGTGACTCCGGAGATTGACCACACAATTGAAGAATACGTGGAGCGTATTTTGTTCGCGCTGACGGAAGCCATTGACGAGCATTTTGAAGGCCTCGAGTGGAGGATCTCCACGTTTCCTTAGCAAAGGTTCTCCTTATCACTTGCTTCAACTTCTTCTAAATCTAAATTCTCAATTGGTTAGATTGTAATCACGAAAGATCCTTCAAATTGCTCTTGCCAAGCTTAGTCCTTTGTAGGAATTGAGTGTAATCTTCTATGCATCCTACGTCTCATTGTTAGATTAGGGATTTAATTTGAAGCCTACTATTTGCGTTGTGTGATGTTCTTATTTATCTTGAAAGTTTCAAAATTCAGAGCATGTAAATTCGCCTAAGCAAATCATTTCCTTATTTGTTTTGAATCTTCGTTGAGAATTGCCAAGTAATTGTTTCCGGAATTTATTCTAATCTAAGAGTTGTGCAATGCCTAAATGAACCCATATGCATCTCATCCGTTTAGTCCTACATCAGAAGTCCTTCGGAGAAAGGCAGATAAATACTCAATAGCGTGTGAGCTCTTGGTTGGTATCATCTTCCCTCTCTATCTCTTTCTTCTCCTTCCCTAGCCACCCAAACAGCCTCCCACTACTGTAGCAACCTACTGCCCTCAACCAGCAACCACCTCCCTCCCTTCCCCTCTAACCGTCTCCACCTTCTCCCAACATCCTTGACCCTTGGGCTTCCCAATTCTGCAATTAGTTCACATTAATTGAACATTTATTTCAATTAATTGTGACCTTTGAAAATCCACAACCGCTTTAAATTTCCCTTTCCCAAGCAAGCTACATCATCCCTTTCTCTTCCCCAAGCAACCGGCCTCACCTCTTCACCTCAAGCTAACTTTTCTTTTCCCAAGCCAACTAATTCCCTTCCCAAGCAAGGCACATCAGCCCTTTCTCTTCCCCAAGTAACCAACCCCCACCTCTTCACTTCCCAAGCTGACTTCTCCCTTTCCAAGCCACTAAAATCGGCCAAATCATCCCTCCCCTCCTCCTCCCCATGCAGCTGGCCTAGCTTCCCCCTCCAAACCCCAAAACCATGAACTTCTCCACTTCCAAACCCTCATCTAGCTAAAACTTTCTTTTCCCTCCCCACTATTCTACCTCTCTAAAGGAACCTAGCTTCTACTAATGCAACAATGACATTGATTCATCAAAGAGCCAGGGTTTCAAGGGCAAGCCAAGGAGAAATTAGCTGTCATTTCATCAAGGACTCCATTCCTCCCATTAATGAGCTAATATCAAATCCTCCCCTTGTTCTTCATCTAACTAAATATTTGTCTTCTCATTTCATCTATAGTAGCATCATCTCATATGTGTTGATTAATTCTCCAAGTTCTACTTAAATTTGAGCGAACAGAAACTCTAGTGACTAGTCCTTTAATTAAATGTTGGACTTGTGCAAACCATGTTAGCTAGTCTAAATTGATTCACATTTTGTTATTGTTTAACCTTTACTTGTTAGTTTCTTGCTATCACATGATCTAATAGTTCAAATTTTCTTATTGTTCTTAAAGTTTTATGAAGTTTATTTTAGTGTCTTTAATGTTATCTTAGCATAAATCTCTATTTGCATGACTTATTTCACTTAGTTTTGCATCATTTGGTATCAGAGCATGGTTGCCTAGTTGCATGTGCTAGAATTCAAGCCAATATTCTACAGTGCATCCCCTAGGCGTGATTAATTGTGTAACATTTCATTTATGTCACTTATATTGCCCATTTTACACGTGCTTACAAAAATTTCTGCATGCCATGTCACTTAGCTACAAGAAGTAGGCTCAAAACCTCCAGCTCAGTTTAGGAAATTGTATGTTTAAGTGCTGCCCCTTAAACTACAGCAATCCTACCTCCCAAAACTGATTTTAGGAGGGTGTTTCCCATTTTTTGCTTGCTGTCCACTAAAACCTGCATCATATAGCAAGCCTTAGGTGTGTTTTCCCATTAGTCTAGGTGCTGTCCTTTACATCCTAGCAGCTCTAAGTGTTACCTAGTGTATCCCCATGGACTCGGAACAAATTCAGCGGACCTTAGATGTTTTAGTTGGTAAAGTTGGAAAACCTTACGAACTAGGGCCTTGGAGATTGTTTCTATTTATACAATGCCTTTTTAGCTTACACACCTCATGTTATATATTTGAAGCAAATCTTGGTGGTACCTTTTGATACTCTCTCCTCTAAGTCACCATATAAGAAGACATTCTTAATATCCAATTGCTATATTTTCCAGTCTATAATTGCTGCTAATAATAAAACTCGAATAATGCTCATTTTAGCAACCATGCAAATGTTCCAAGGTTATTATCTCATGTCTTTGAGTGTATCATTTGGCAACTAATCTAAC